AAAAATAAAAAAAAAAAAAAAAAAAAAAAAAAGCCAACGAGACAAAAGCTGATGAACACATCAGCTATTTGGACTTCATTATGTACTTATGGAGGAGAAATTCTCAAGTCAGCTCAAAAGAAGGCCATCGGGACAGTCAAGCTGACCTTGAAATTGACCTGGAGGAGCCCAGGAAGAAGCTGTGGTCTGCACCGGCCCCTTCCTGCCTCTGTCCAACCGGGAGCTCTGGGTGTTGAGGGGCCTGCAGGCTCCAGGAGGAAGACCCTGCTTCCCAGCATCCCTTGCAGTTAGGACCAGCCACGTGCCTATGGTCTGGCCAAAGGGATGTGGGCAGGACCCTGTGAGAATGCCCAGGCAGTGTCCCGGAAGGGCAGGGTGGAGGTACAGGGTGACCCCAGCTGTGACCTGGGGCAGAACCCCGCCCCATCCCCTTCATGGTCACTGATGTCCCGGCAGCAGGACCAGCCTGGTTCTGTGCCTGACTCCCGGGAACGTTGGTGCAGCCGGTGTCCGGCCTCAGTTCAGATTGTGGTTCAGGGGCCACAGGACAGCTCACGCTCGTAACTCCTGCAGGGAAAGGCTAACGCGCCAGAACACAACCGCAGGAGGGGAGAGGCTGGCCGTTCGGACCCCAACCACCCAGCCCCATCCCTGGCACCTTGGGGACTTGCAGGTGTTTCCTGCTGTGCCTCACAGTAGCCCCCTCCCTTTGTCCATGAGGCCAGAGGGGAAGAAGGGGTTCGCTCTTTCCTGGGACATTAGCCATGGGTGGCTCAATTCATTTCTTCAGCCTGTTTCCCTCCTGTGCAATGGGGCTGCCAGCCCCTGCCTGTGACGGCCAGGACTGAACTGAGTGACTGAATGGAGGGGTTTGAGAGCTGCACAGGGTGGCAGTGATACAGTCACCCGGAGTCTGTGGGGGCCAGGATGGGGGACAGCTCCCAGGGAAGGCAGGAGCAGCTGCCATCCTGAGATCTGCAAGGAAGTGTTGGCTCGCGCCCAAGGCCAGGGCACGGCAACCCCATGCGTGGTCTTGGGAGCCCAGGGAAGGTTCCTGGCTCCTGGGGATGCTGTGATGAGACTGCAGGGTCCAGAAGACCCCAGCCTGGGGCAGGACTGGAACATGCAAGTCTCCCACGTGTGGGGGGGTGAGGACAGCCTGCTGGGGTGCGTGCGGGTGGGTGGGGTAATGACAGCTGAGGCTGTGGAGCGCTGTGCAGCAGGCTCCTTTCAGGCCCTCGGGTCTCTCGATCCGCTCCATCCCCCACCCGGGGCCTGCAGTCTGTTACTAGGTTCCAAGGGTGAGCTCAAGGCCACACTGGGGTCAGAGGCGGGGCTGGCTCGCTGTGTGCTGCAACCAGGAAAAAGGGTCCCTGAGACACAGCAAAGCAGTGAGACAGAGCGGGGAGGGCCCGAGCGGGAGTCTGCCAGGGCCACCTCACAGATGCCGCTTGAGCTCTCTGGCCTGGCTGTTTGACCTGAAAAATTAATGGAATGTGGCAGGAGCCGGCGCACTTGACACACGGCACCTATTTTAGCCTTCTGTGGTAACTGCTCACACACAGCAACCTGTGCAGACAGTATGGAAACCAATGGGCATGGCTGTGTTCCAATAAAACTTTATTTATACAAACGGGCAGCAGTTGGCTGACTTGTATTTTGAATGACTCATGCCAATTCTTTATTACTTTTGTTTTATTTTCATACACTTAATATATTTGTTTATACTAACTTTCCTTATAGCCCGGCACACCACAGGCTGGCTGAGGTAGTTATGGATCTGTAGTTGTGGCAAACATGAAAAAACAAAGCCATAAATTAAAAACTTCCCTGGGCCCTAAAACCATCTCCCCCACTTGGGTCCAGGCTCCTGCTCCTGGGGGTGGTTCTCACATTGCCGAGGCACTGAGCAGGACGTGAATGTGGGAGGGCCAGGCCCTGTACCCAAACTTTAAATGCAATAGTTTTCGCTTTGTTTTAGTTTTTTGGTAACTTGATCGAACTTGGGACCTTGCACTTGTGAGGCAGGCAGCGGCACCACTGAGCTAAGTACCCAGCGCCCACATCATACTTGTTTGGAAATAGGGTTCTGTGACCAAAAGCATTTAGAGTTATATGACAGTGGCTTCCGAATGAACTGAGTCCCTTGGTACAGCTGGGTGGCGGAGCGCTCGCCTAGAAAGCACCAGGCCCAGGTTCCATCCCTGGTGCCACAAACAGTAACAAACCTGGAAACTTCTGAGCTGTGCTAGGATTTCCTGGCTGTCTCGAGAGGGCTGAGTCTCTACAGTGCCTCTTGGATTTCTTAAAGGTGAAAGGACAGTCTCCTGCTTGGTCTTTCGTGTGTCCCCCTCCTGCACTCAGACACACACCTGCTGCCCCTCACCTGCAGTGTCGGAAACCCCGCGGCTCAGGCTGCCCCAGACCTCGGCAGCTGCTCAGCTGCTCAGCTGGCTGCAGTCCCAGGCCGGGTGCCGGGCACTGCTCCCCCCAGGGTCCCTCCTTCCTCTCTCCAGGCTCTGCCTCCCCGAGTCACCTCAGTGACAGCAGATGCAGTGTGCTCCCCTCCCAGCCCCAGTGCCAGGCTGAGCCCCACAGTGGCTGCTGCCCGACCCGTCCTGCCTAGTGAACCGGCGCTGGCTCCTTGCACACCCTTCTCTCGGGAATGTCGCCCACTCTTGGAGGCTCTGTTTCCACATGTCCGGTAAGCGGCTGGGAGGAGAGAGGGGGACCACAGGAAGGAGAGGGGCGAGGAGGCAGCTGGGGTCACTGGATCGTCTCAGCACGCTGGCGTGTCCCATACGGGGCTTGGGGAAGGTGCCACTTCCACGGCCAAGGCAGGATGGGGGACACTGACCACGAGGCCAGTGACCTCGGAGAGGGAGGGACAGTGAAGACGACGGAGCCCCCGCCGGGCTCTCTTCCGGGGATGGGAGGGGGCGCTGCACTCCCCCAAGGTACACCAAAGGCTTAAAGTCATTTTCATTAAAATTTAAATTTCAGCAGGCGCTCCCTCTCCCTCCCCCGACCCTTGAACATTTGACTGGCAACCATTTCATATTTCAATCTCGGCAGAACAAATTGAATTAGATGTTGAAACCGAGCTGGGCTCTGTTCACCAAAGCCTGAGACACAGGAGCGGCTGAGGGCCCTTACAAGACAAAAAGGAAATCTTGGGGAGGCGCTGGAGGGCAGGGAGGATGTGGGACACCTCGGCTGGCTGGCTGCTGGAGACTCCACACTACAGACCCTGGGGCCACCCAGCTAGGAGCCAGAGGACATGCCAGGCTGCTGTCCTCACTCTGGGTGCCACTCACAGGGGCTGCAGCTGGCTAAAGGACGCAGCTCGTTTTGGGGCAAGGGAGGCGGAGCTGGAGCTGGGGGTCACCCACACCCAGGACTCTCCTGTCAACTGTGGATCTGCCCCCACCCCGAGTGGGCTTTGGAGAGCGAAGTTTGACCCCTGTGCAGTGGGCCCTGCCCACCCTGAACAGGACCTACAGGCAAAGGCCCAGCAGACACAGCGACCTGGGCCACTCCGGTCCCAGGACCTGTGTAAGGAACAGCTGGGTCACTGTGCCCTGCTCACCCTGGGGTGCCAGGTGGGGACCCCCAATGGATCCTCCACCCCTTTCATCATGGCTTCTCCCTACTAGGCTCGGCGGTGCTACCCTGAGCCTCTGGCATGGGCTGCTGAGCCTGGGATGACTTCCTTCTGGGGCAGCCCTAGCAATGGCGCTCGCCTGGAAACTCCTGCGGGCCTCTCTGGAGGTCTGCTTATCTTGAGAAGACTCAGGGCACAGACGTTCTTCTCTAGCTTCCGTATGGCAGCCCGCTACTCCTCTCCCTCCGAGGTCACTCCACCCTGCCCGCCTCCATCTGGTTGTCAGGCTTCTCGGGCCTCAGCCCCAGGCACCCCGCATGCATAGGCCACGCAGGCTGCCATCCAGTGTCTGCCCCAGCCGGCAGGCCTCCTCCAGGGCCCCCTCTGCCCGGCAGGCCTCTGATGGCGCCGACCCCCTGGGAGTCAGAAGAGCACAGGCCAGAGGGTAGGGACAACAGCAGGGTGCATGAAGGGCGGGTGGGGTGCCCGAGTCAGGGCTGCACCGTCGGCAGGGAGCCCTCAGGGGCAGGGGTGCCCTGGCTTCTCTGCCAGCCCCAGGTGGGCACCGGTGGGATGGGGGTGAGGAGCAGCAGGAACCTGAGGCCCTCTGCTGAGCACCCCAGGCTGGTGGCCTCGTCTTGGCGCCCACGCCATGGCCCCCGTGTCCCTGGTTCCCACTGGCTCTCCCGGCACTTGCCCTGTCGCAGTTCTTTGCCTCCTGCACCTGATGACCCGACTGAGCGACTTAGCACCGGCAGCTCATCCCGGCCATCGCCTTGCCCCGCTGAGCCTCCGGGCGTCACTTCCGGGATGGCGATCTCCCTGTGCTCTGCTGTCCCGGAGGCTCCCTGTGAGATGGTGACGGTCACTCCCTTGCTGCCATGGCCCAGTCTCGACTCGGCCCACACACCCTGGTGGACGAGTCCCCGCACAACTGCCTTCCTAGTGTCCCTGGCCCCTCCACTCTGTCCTCTGGGCTGGGCGGCTGCACACCCGGCTCGCTCCACCAACCTCAACATGACGGGACGATGATGGCGACTGTAAGTAACAGCCCAGGGCTCACAGCGCTCCCCGAAAGGGGAAAAGGGCTCGGGGCATGGAGCTCCCGGATCAGACTTCGGACTGTTCCTCCACTGAGTGCACTGACTGAAAGGACCGGGGACAGGGACACATGAACTGCTCAGGGGATTGAGCTCAAGTGAATCTGCACTCGGACCTCAGGGGGGAATGAGGAGCCACACCGGAAAGACGAAAGGCTGGGACCCTGGGAGGGAGACAGAGCTCGTGCAAAGGCCCAAGGCGGGGACCTGCTGGGAGCCCCGGGCACCGCGAGATGGTTAGGGCCTTAGTGACTTAGACCATGGGCGGTGCGATCCAGCTCCTGCCTTCAGCCACAGGCCTGCTGGCTGCCTGTGAAGAACGGAGGCTACTGTGGGGTGACGGGAGGGGGCGACAGGGACCCCGGGGCTACTTGTGTACAGCCCCACTCCCCGGAACTCCCCTGGACTCCAGGACGGGGGCGCAGCGACCAGGCTGAGGGGTGCCTTGGTCACATTTCCTTTACTGGCACAAAATACCTACCACCCACAACTTAAGTACGAGGAGGCTCATCTGGCTCACTTTCCATGGGGCAGGGAGAGCATGGAGACGCGTGAGGACAGCTGTTCACCCGAGGCAGCAGAGAGCAAGGGACAGGAGACCTCACGGGGCACCTGGGGACACCTCCTAACAGCACATCTGGCCGAGGAGAAACCATGCGGGAAGCCAGCGGACCTGTGATCCAGCTGTCACACAGGAGCCTTCGGGGACACTAGATAGGGACGGGACAGGGCAGCCTCCTCACCCCAGCCAAGTCTGGAGCAGCTCCTCCTCCAGCCCCGCACTCCTGTGTCCCGAGTCTGGGGTCAGGCAGCCATGCATACCCCGCCCACGCTGTGTGACCCAGGACGGGTGCCTGGAGCTCCCTGGGACAGGTGCTACTCACAGCACGAAGTGTAGGGGTGAGGAGGAGACCAACGATGCGGGGGAAGCCGCCGAGGTTGTCACCAGGATCAAGATGCCCAACAGCAGGGGATCAGGCCCGGTGTCTCTGCCTGGTCCTATCAGGCCCACAGGGCTGTCACTTTTGGTGACCATGAGGCTGTGCCCCGCCGTTGGGGTGGGGACACGTGTAGAAACCACACACACCGGGCTCAAGCAGGAGGTGCTACAGCCCAGCACAGACGAGCAGCAGGCGGAGCGGGAGGGGCCCAGCCCTGCAACCCCCTTCACCCCCACCCCTCTTGGGAGCCTGGTCCCGAGCCCACCCCGCTTCAGGGCACCTCAATGAGAAGCTGGGCACAGACACTCTGGGCTCGTCACTCACTGCCAGTTCTCAGGGGCAAGTTGGGGTGGGTGTATGTGACACCCACAGCCTGGCTGGGGGGCTGGGCCACGCTGAGAGCTGCCGGGGCCTGGAGCCTCACAGGCACCGAAACGCAGGGACTTGGATTCACACAGGAGCCTCCCTAGAGGTCACCTTGGGTCCCAAATGAAGGAGGCCACAAGTGCAGGTGAACGTCTGGATTTAGTGGACCCAATCACTGCTGTCAAGCCCCCCACCGCACCCCAGGAACGGTCAAGCATCGGGGTGCCAGGCTGGAGTGGCTGTGTGTGGACGCAGCCTGGGGCTGAGGGGCCGTGGCCCTCTCTCCTCTGTGTCACCTGGCCTTGGGCTGTGCTGGCCCTGCCTGGGCTGGGGAGGGTGTGCCCAGGGCGATCCTGGCCGGAGACTGCTGTCTTGGGCAAGACCCTCAGTGTGTGCACAGTCCCCACTCTGCGTGTGGCACGGCCAGTCAGCCCAGCGCTGAAGCTGCTCGGAAATGTCCCAGGGTGACAGGAGCAGGCTCGAGGTCCCCGAGACCAGGATGCACAGGATGGGGGCCTCATCCTTGGGACGGAGGTGGTGGCTTCCTGGGGTAGCCTGGGATGAGAAGGTGGGGTGTAGGGCACTGCACAGCTCTGGGAGGCTGGTCTGTTTCTCACGGAGGCCTCAGGCAGCAAGAGCGGGGAGCCAGGAGGACCTGGCCACTGGCCGGAGGCTGGTGTCCCCTTCGACCCTGGGCTCCCCACCCCGCCACTCGGCAGGGCTGCAGGGGCTGGAGCGGTTGTCCCCATCCCAGGGCCGCAGCCACATACCCTGGCGGTGCAGCTCACAGCTGACGGCTCTGCTCCTCGCCGTCGCTTGCGCTGTCCTCCAGCTGCCCCAGGATCCCATCCAACACTGCAGACCGCTTCTTCCTCGGGGGCTCTGGGGGAGTCCAGTTGGCGAGGGTTAGCCCGAGAGGAAGGAGGGACACAGAAACGCACGTCAGCCTCCAGCCTCTCCTCCTCTGTCAGCTGGCTCCTTCCACCTGCACCCCGAGGATAGGGTGCCCGAGAGGGCGGGTGGACTCCAGCAGAATCCATCCTCCCTGCAGGCCTAGCACCGTCAGCGGTCAGACAAACAAGCAGACGCGGGTCCTGCTTCCTTGGAGGCCAGGACTCTAAGGGTGTGGTAAGTGGCTGCTAAACAGTAGGAGCTAAAGATGTGTGGGGAAAACGGGCAGAGCCCAAAATGCCCAGAGGAACAAAGGACTGACAAGTAGGAGTGGCTTGGGAGAAGAGGGGCCACATGACTTGGGCTTTGACGAAAGTAGAGGCGTTTTCTGTGTGGAGATGGGGTGAGAAGGGGACTCAGGTGCACACTGGGAAGAGAGCAGGAAGTGTGCAAAGTCCCACGGGCTGAGCAACAGACGGGCGCCTCCTGGGCTCCGTCCCCATGGGGCGAGCCCTCAGGCAGGTGCTGCACACACGCCGTGTGGGTCAGGGAGTGGACAGGTGGGTCCAAGGCCGTCCAGCAAGGAAGCAGCAGGGCCAGGACCGGAGCTCAGGGAACCTCTGCTTCGCATGAACGCTGTGACTCAGGCCAGAGTGCTCCGGCCCTCGGGCTCCAGGCTGCCTGCCCCAGCCCCTCCCCCGGGGGTGCGAGTCCTGCCCCTCAGTGCAGCCCAGTCACGCTCCAGTGGGCAGCGCTGTCTCCTCCCCGCCTCTGGGTGACCTGGGGTCCCTCCTGCGGTCCTCGAGTCTCAGGACCCTGCCCTTCCCATCTCCTCCACACAGATTCTGATCAGTGCCCCCTCTCCCCTTCTCTGGGGCCCTACTCCTCCCAGCTGAGCACCCCAAGACTATCCCCGCTAGAGGGGGACCCCGAGCTGGCTCTCTCCTTTTCCTTCTGTTTCTTCTTTCTGAGCAGAGTTCTGCTGTGTAGCCCAGGCTGGCTGTGAGCCCTCAGCGATGCTCCCGAGTGCTGGGGTCACAGGCATGCGTACCGCACCCTGCACCTGGCCCCTTTCTCGTGGCCCCCCCTTGTCTCCTCTGTCACCCCCGCCCTGCAGCAGCCACATTTGTGGTGGGTCCCCAGCCTGCTCCCTCACCTGTCCCCACCTGGCGCCAGGCAGCGCGTAGGTGGGCTGGGGACCCAGCGGCGGGCTAGCAGGGCGGGGCAGCGGCTGCACCCCTCATTGCTAGTGAGTAGAGGAGTGGCTTTGCCTCCCCTCCTGCACAGCCTTCTCACAATTACCGGCCCAGAGGCACTGGGGCTCTGGACACCGAATTCGAAGGCAGGCAGCAAATGCTAGGAGACAGAAGGGCAACAAAACAGGGCCTGCTGGCCTGGCCCCACCACCCCTCCCAGCTGCTGACATAGACAGCGCCTGCTTTTGGTGCTAGCTGGGCCGGGCTGGCTGGGGGGCGGGTCTGACTGGCCTCCCTGCAGTCGAGCCCAGGGGCTGGCCAGTGGCGAGTTCTCTCTCTATCTGCTAAGGGGGCTGGCTGTGCTCCGGCAGATCTGAGCTGGGGCTGGTGATGTGCACTTGTTAAGTCCAGCCGCTCAGGAGGTGAAGGCAGGAGGATGTGCGAACTCGAGCCAGCCTGGGCCACACAGGGAGACCCTGTCTCAAAGTAAGTCACAAAGGGCTGGTGTGTGGTGCTCTTGACCTCTGCCCAGCAGAGCGGGCTCACCAGTTGGTCCCTGCCTGGCGCGCTGTGGATGTTCAGTGTTTGCTGAGTGACGGAACTGAAGGACAAACAGAAGCAGGCGAGGCTGAGAGCAGTTTTCCCGCCTCCCATGGCAGACACAGTCGCTAGCAGGAGCAGCTCAGCCCCCTTTAGGACAAAGGACACAGACACCTGCAACCCAAGGCAAGATGAACCCGGTGATGGGCAGCCACCGGCCTCAGTGCTGGCCGATCAGGGCTTCCTGGAGCAGGCGACAGCACCACCAAATCGGCATCCGACTGACTTCCAGCCCAGGCCTCCTGTGCACACTGCTGGGCCGGCCGTCCCTTGGCACAGAGCTGTGGGGACAGCTTGGGGGCGGCAGCGCCCTGACACCTCCCCACTTACACCAGCTGGGCTGCTCGCTGCCCTGGAGCTGGGCTTCCCCGCTTCCGGGTCTGGTGGCCCGCACCGCCATCCTGCTCAGCCCGGCACCAGCCCCGTCCTCTGACCCTGCGGGAGGGCCTCGCCTTCCCCTCTGCCACGGCAGCTTCAAAGAAGCTCAACGGGGAGCCAGGGGCCTGCAGGGCCCACTCCCACTGCCCCCGGCTGCCAGGGTTCAGGACAGCCCCACCCCACGCCCCACGCCCCAGCTCCAGGTCACTGCGGACCCAGGCATCCTCGCAGCACCCCGCGCCCAGAACAGCTGCCGAAGCCCCACTTCCCCGACATCAAAAGCCTCAGTGGGTTTCACCAAACAAACATAATGCACAACCGGAGAAAGGTGTAAAATAAATAAACGAAACAAGCTGTGCATTTTCTTTCAGTGTTACAGCTGCACCCGAAGATAAACAACAAATGAATGTCACCAGACATCAATACCCGAGAAATTAACTCCACAAAAGCTCAGCCGTCCCCCAACAACCCCCTAGCCCTGCCCCCAGCCCCCCAACCTCCAACCACCGAGTCTGCATTTCTGCAGTTCCCACCTAATGATTTTATTTTTCAATTAATTCCTTGACAGAATGCCAGCCCGTGTCGCTCCCTCCCTGGCTGGCGCTGTCGCCCGGCGCGAGGCACAGGCCGATGCAGAAAGGCAGGCGGGGCCAGAGGCAGCGCTGCTCCCACTCGGGTTTGGATTCGGAGGAGGCAGAGCTGAGGAAAGGAGTCTGGGGCCTGAGAAGGGTCTGAAAGAGATTCTGAGAAGAGGCGGCCTGACAGCTGGACGGGACAGCGGACAGGACAGGGCTGGGCGGGGCCTCCAGATGCCCGGTCGGCAGCCACTGAATGACAATGGCATTTACAGTACCCACTGCTAGGGTGTTTAAGAGTAAAAGCCAGGCATGGTGGTGCATGCCTGCAATCCCAGCTGCTCAGGAGGCTGAGGCAGGAGGACTGCAAGTTTAAGGACAGCCTGGACTGTATCTCTCAAGAGCTCATCTCAAAAAAAAGGTGACTGTCAGGCTGAGTGCCCGTGCCTGGCACGCAGGGGACACTCAGCACAGGGTGCCACTACTCTGCCTTCTGAATCGGGGTAGTGATGTCAGACCCGGGGCCAAGGGGTGACCACACAGGATGACACAGGGTCTCTACAGTGATGTGTTGTGAAAAAGGAAATCAGTGGGCCTGCTCCGGGTTCCCACACCGTGCTCACCTGCAGGTGGGCCTGTCTCTCCCTGCCAGGCTGTCACTGCTGCCTGTGTCCTTGCTGTCCCTGGAGATGGGAGCTAGGCTGGTGTGTTTGTTGCCTGCCTGTCCCAGAGTCCTCCGAGATGGGGCAGCAGGGTCTGGCATCAGCAGCGTGGATATCTGGGGGCTCCCTCCACTAAAAGGGTACCCCAGGGGTCACCAATGACACACGGCATGAGTACTGCGGGGGGCGAGCATCTTACTGCCCCCTGGGCTCAGCCTGTCCTTGGAGCAGGCAGACAGATCAGGGCCCAACCTGCCCCTGCCACCTCCGTGATTCCCAGCTCTGATCTGTTGCCTGGGACCATGGCAGCGCTGTTGGTCTCCTGGGGACCTGAGCTTGGCGAAGTGGCAGGGACCAAAATCCCAAAGGACAAAATGAACTGCCGGCTGGGGGTCACCCTGGGGCTGGGGCGATGGGACTGACGTGACCTACTCGCCAGGGCCCAGGGCCTCTATATTCCAGTCCCTTGTGTGCAGACAGATGGGACCAGGAAATGGTGCCCGGCGGAGATCTGGACAGAGGGTCCAAGGGCAGGCAGCCCCGGGCCTGGCTCTCAGGATGCTGAGCTAACCTGGAGGAAGAAAAGGGCCCAGCAAACAGAGAACCCAGCTGCCCAAACTAGGGCTGGGGACACAAAACAGGGACATGTCCCCAGGCACTTCCAACTCTGCACAGTGGGGTGGGCATAGACTCTCTGGAGTCCCAGGAGCTGGTGACATCACCGACCCAGTTTTTAGCTGAGGAAGCAGCTGCTGAAGGGCTCAGGGAAGTCATGTGACCGTGGCAGGCCCCACATGGGGCCTGGCACACGGCGTCTTGGCTTCCCCTACACGCGAGCCCAAGGCCATGGGTACGGCCCTGCTCCGGTAGGAAGGACTCGAAAGGAGAAGTGCAGGACACACTGGGGTGCCTGGCAGCACCCACACTACATTCACGGGTTTCTCAAAGGCCAGAGGTCGCTATCCAGTGCCCGGCAGAACACACCAGAAGCAAACCACTGAGACCTGGAGCCTACACCATAGGCCCAGGTGCTGGCGGCCCGGGAGGGCGCTGAGTGTCCGGTCACCATGACGGCTGCTGCTGTCAACCCAAGTGCAGAGGGTCTGGGTCCCTGAGAGTTTGGCCATGGTGCAGCCTGCTGTGCTGATCTTGCCTGGGTGTCCTGTGTGTGCCCAGGTCTGCACCGCTGGACAGGCCACGCATGCCTGTACACAGAGTGTGTGAAGGTGCCCTGGCCTGGACTATCGTGGGTTTATCCTGAGTGTGGCTGGGTCCTGCCTGTGTCTGCACGGAGTGGGAGCCCCACGGACCGTCACAGAGGACTGGCATCAGTGGAAAGGCAACGGCTCATGGGGGCGGACGGTGTCCCTGCCACGCTTGCTTCCTCCTGGAATAGGTCCTGGGTGAAAGTGGAGTTGAGAGGTGACCTGGGAACATTTCCTTACAGGACTGCAGGGGCCAGGGAGGGTGAGCGGCCATGGTGACCCCAGGGAGGGCTGCAGCCTGCAGCAAACAGGAAGCCCGAGCTTTGCACAAACAGGTGGGTGCTCTGCAGGCTTTGCTCCTGGGGGTGGGTGGGG